GTGCGCCCCCGGCCGCGCGCCCCGCCCCGGCCCGCCCTGCCCCGCCGCCAGCGCGCCCTGCGGAGCCCGCGCGAACCGCCTGCGCGGGAGAGCCTCCCGCCTGCGGGCGCTGCTGGGACGTGGCGGGCCGCGCCAGGGTCCGGGCAGCGAAGCTCGGGGCTCCGGCGCCCTGCGCGTCCTCTTCAGGCCCGGTGTGCGGCCCCCGGGGCGCGGCACGGCCCCCGGAGGCAGGCGGACCGGCGAGTCTCCGTCCTCGGCCGGAGGGCGCCGTGGGCGGCAGCGCGCGGCCGGCCCTTCCCGAGATGCACCTGGGGGCGGCCGGCCGCGGGGGACCTTCCTGGCCGCGCTGCTCCTTAGGGTGGTCGCGTACACCGGCAGGGGCCCGCTTCCCCACGCTCAGACGCGGGAGACTGCAGCAGGGGAGGGGGCCCGGTACGTTGCCTAGGCCTGAGAAAGTTCCAGCCACCGTGCCTGCCACGATTCCTGCGGGCGGGCCTCCCTTCGCGGCAGCTGTCATCCTAGAGACGACCTCTTAGAGATCTAACCGGTTTTGGCAAGAAAGCAGTCATTGTGTGCTAAATGAACATAAGCAAAACTGATGGTCCGCAGCCTCGGCTCGATAGAGTTCGAGACCAACCTAGGTTATGTGAGACAATGTCCTAAAAATCTCGACTGGTGATCTCTGGGGGTGAACTTGATCAAGATACCCGGAAAACGGGGGATGGCGTTAGCATAGGATTAGTCTTAGAGTATCATGCTAAGCATGTTAGTGGAAATGTACTGCGGGCATATCTTTAACTACTATGTGAGCAGGCTAGCTGAAGGGAAAGCAAAATTAGAATGGTTCTCCTGGGGGTACATACCTAAAGGAATTGAATCAACATAAAACAAAGGCACCAAGCCCAGCAGTGTGGCACACACCTTTAGGCCCAGCACTCAGGAGGCAGAGGCAGGTGGATCTCTTGAGTTCAAGGCCACAGTTGTAGATCGAGTTTTAAGACAACCAAAACCTGTCTTGAAAAACAAAAACAAATTTAATAAAAGAAAAACCAAAATAAATAAAAACAGAGGTACCTACAAGCATTTATTGTGGCACTGATAGTCACAATACCTAAGTTACAAAATCATCTTAGGTGACCCTCTATGTGAATGGAAAATGTCCTGGATATACACAATCAAATATTCAGTCATGAAAAACAAAGTTATATTTGCATGAAAATTGATGGGATGTAACAGTAAGGGCAATAAGACAGATCCAGAAAAACAAGTATGGCATGTTTTCCCATGAAAAAAACCTGTATTAAAATTATAGGTGAAGGAACAGCTTAGTAGTAGAGCACTTGCCTGTCATGAGTTTCATCTTCAAGCACAGGATGGGAGAGCCATGAAATAGAAAGGGGACTGCTTGTAAAGAGAAACAGCAAGAATAGATAATAGAGGATATATAGGATTTATCCTATTTTGGTTTTCCGAGACAGCGTTTCTCTGTGTAGCTCTGGCTGTCCTGGAACTCACTATGAAGACCAGGCTGGCCTCAAACTCAGAGATCCACCTGCCTCCCAGGTGCTGGAACTAAAGGTGTGCGCCACCACCCTTCGTGGTCAAAGTTTTATGCAGATGTCATAGTGAAACCTTTCTCTATAGCTGATATGTACTGATAAAGGTTAAATTTGATAATGTACAGAGACTCTATATCAACCAACCGCAGAATTAATGATCAGTAAAAACAAGCTATTCTGGCTCTTATTTACCCCTCCTCCTTACTAGAAGTTAAGAAACAGCTTTAGCCCTCTGTGGTGGTACACACAGGCCTTTAATCCTAGGTGGAGGCAGTGATGTGAGAGTGTAAGGTCAGTCTGGTCCACATAGCAAGTTCCAGAACTTGTTGGGTGTTTCCTTAAGCATCATCTTAAGCATGTAACCATTCATATTTTAAAGTTCATTTTTAGTGTCCCTTTTCTCCCCAGTTTTACATCTACCTGCTTTTAAAATATATAAAATTTTGACAGGCTTGGTAACCCACACCTTTAATCCCAGCACTCAGGAGGCAGAGCAGGGGGATCTGTGAGTTCAAGGCCAGCCTGATGTACATAGTGGGTTCCAGGACAATGTAGAAAGACCCTGTCTCTCTCTCTCTCTCTCTCTCTCACACACACACAGAAGCATAAAATTTCTTTATACCCTTTTTTTTTTTTTCTGAAGAACCTATTGTGCATGCCCTAAACTCTTGTGGCTAAATAACCTCTACAGCATTTCTTGACGTAATTATTTTGGTTGTTCTCATACTCATTTTCAGGAAGAAGAAAAAAAAAACCTATAAAGGTTCTTGGAGGCACGGGTCTTTGTTTCCATAAAGCCAGGAGTTTTCACCTGTTGTTCTGGTTACTGATGAGCCGAGCAAGGTTATTGCTTGAGCCCCGGCTCCAAGGCTAATCTGGGCAGGATATAAAACCTTTTTTCTTTAAAATAAAGCCAGACCTATCTGACATACTTCCTTCTCCGGGGTCTTTACCATGTGCTCTCTTTGTAGACCTCTCAGAGCCTTTATTTTTGTACTCTACTGTTCTGTCTCCTCCCCAACCCCAACCTGGTTTTTCAAGACAAGGTTTCTCTGTGTAGCCTTGACTGTGCTTTACTCACTTTGTAGACCAGCCTGGCCTTGAACTCATAGCCATCTGCCTGTCTCTGCCTCACAGACTGCTGGGATTACAGTTGTGCATGTACCAAGCCAAGTTTTGTTCTGTCTTCTAAACAAGATAATAGTTGCCTGTTTAAGGACTGAACCCAGAACCTCCTGCATTAGTGCTCTGCCTGGCAACATTTTTACTTTTTGTTTTTGTTGAGATGGCATCTCAATATGTTTCCTAAGCTTACCTTGAGTTTGCAACTCTCCTGCCTCCAAGCTTCTGGTGTAGCTAGGATATTATAGGTCTGCACCACCTCCCAGCTTTGTTCATCTTTTTATAGTTAGCTAAGCCAGTGGTGCAGAGACATATGTAGTAGGACCTTGGTAAATGCTAACTGGATGGATGTTAGGTAGGAGAATTACCCCAGTAAATAACGGGGCTTGCCCCCCCCCAAGGTTTTGAGAAAAGATTTCCCTGTGTATCCCTGGGTGGTCTGAACTTGTTATCTGGATCAAAATGACTTTAAACTTGTAGAAGTCTGCCTGCCTCTGCTCCCTTAATGCAGTTATTTTCCTAGAATAGTCTTAAGCTTAAAGGAAGGGGCGTTAAAAAAAAAAAACAACAACAAAAAGCAGGTAGAATAGATGTCTCATGCATCCTTGTCCGCATCACATACATTCCCTGTATATCATATTCTAGTGTCACACCTTTTTGTCACTAATAAGTCAATGTTGATGTGTTACTAACTAAAGCAGATACTTTATTCAGATTTCCTTAGTTTTTGCCGAATGCCTGTTTTTGAGAGAGGATCCCATGAATCTCAGGATGACCTTAAATTCTATTTGTAGTTGAGGATGACTTTGAACTTAATTATTTCAGTGCTGGGATCATAGGTGTTTACTATCATAACCAGTTTATGTGGTTCTGGGTGAGCTCTAATCCATTTAGACAGGGTCTCTTGATGACATGTCTATAGCCAGCTCAGACTTGTCTTGAGCCTGCCAGCCAAAATTACTTTGAACTTCTGATCCTCTTGCCTCCACCTCCCAAATTGATGGGATTTCAGGCATGCATCATTGACAGGACTTTACCTATATTTTTACCCCTCCACAACTGTACCTTGGATATATCTTTGTATTTTTAATACCTTTTAAATCATGGAGCTGATTTGAAGCTAAGCAAAATGAATTATGCATAATGATAATTAGTATGTCTCACAAAATAAGAAAACATGAGGGCTGGAGAGTTGGCTCAGTGGTTAAGAGCACTGTCTGTTCTTCCAGAGGTCCTGTGTTCAATTCTCAGCAACTACATGGTAGTTTACAACCATCTACAATGGAGACTGATGCTGTCTTCTGGCATCAGGTTGCATGCAGATAGAGCACTTATATACATAAAAAAAAATTGATAGAGAAAAAGAAAGAGAGAGAAACTTTTTTTTTCTGTCTTTCTTTTTTTTTTTTTGAATTTTATTTTTTTCTTATCAGTTACATTTTATTAACTCTGTATCCCAGCCGTGTCCTGATCCCTCATTCCCTCCCAGTCCCTCCCTCCCTCCCTCATCTCCACCGTGCCCCTTGCCAAGTCCACTAATAGGGGGGACCTCCTCCCCATTCATCTGATCCTGTTTTATCAGGTATCTTCAGGACTGGCTGCAAAGCTCTCCTCTGTGGCCTAACAGGACTGCTCCTCCCTTGGGGGGTGGGAAGGCCAAAGAGCCAGTCATTGAGTTCCTGTTAGAAATAGTCCTTGTTCCCCTCACTATGGGAAACCTATTGGTTACTGAGCTACCACAGGCTACATCTGAGTAGAGGTTCTAGGTTACATTCATACATGGTCCTAG